CTTGCCTGTTCATTGACAGTGATAAACTTCAAAGTAATCTCCTCAAAGGATAATATATAGTTAATCTGCAAAACACAAGTGTTGGTCAAAAATTTCCTTCACATGGAAAATAAATAAAAACGCACACAACTATTCAGTGTTAGGATGTACAAGATCAGTGGGGAATAATTAAGGTAATATATAAGATACATGAAAAAAAGCAATATCAAGAAAGAAGGAATTCACTTTTGCATAAAAGGATGCTGCCCTGAGGAAGTCCCTGGAGCTGAATGCAGCTTCAGCCTGCTTAAACAATATCCCAATCATAGACAATTAGGATGATAACAAGATTCTCTACACAAAAGCTGCAACCTAGGAGTGGCTATTTATTTAAGCTTTGTGCTATGAAATTAAATGCCAACAACCAAAAGAGCCATTACTTCTAGACAGGACCTGAACTAAATAAACTTGGTCTTTCTGGAGAGGATCACGAGAATTGGCTAAAGCTGCAGCATACTCTTTCATATCTAGATAGACCTTCCACATATCTCGACCTTCATCATTCACAGAAACCTAGAAGATGTTTTCAATCCAGAGGTCAGACAGTTAGCCAGGTATAGCTTGGACTGAAAGATAAGATGAAGTCAAATGTAAGATACAAACCTGAAAGATAGAGTTCTGGTCATACGCATAGAACAACCCTGCAGTTGCATCACTACATAGTCCAATAATTCCTCTTGAAGAAGAGTCTGAAACCTGATCGAACTGAAGTTCCTCTATGATTTGCTCGCTAATTCTATTTACAACCTATGCAGCATTTAGGAACAAAGGTTACATTACTGTAAAAGCTAAAAGAACAGAGAAAAAAAAAGCAAATTAAACAATCCTAAATGAACACCAACAAATCTGATCCCAAGATCCTTCAGACATAACATATAGGGGGGCCTAAGTAAATCTCATACTCGTTAGAAAACTCATTACTGGGATGGATGTAACTGAATTCAGAACACTGCAAATGGACACCATCGGCATTAAAAACATAGCGTAAGTAATTATCAAAACACACCTTAACCTTATTCCCAATAAGAAGCAAAAAGTGAAATTCAGACACTGCCATGGAACTGGGTTTGACTACTTCTGCACCATTAGACAACTTTGCATAGTCCAGGAGAGCCTTGTTCTCCACAAAGTTTTCATCGCCATTTGGAGAGCTAGATCAAAATATATCACAATGGATGATAATGAGATCATGTCCATAAATATTTATCAGATATAACAAGTTCAAATGCATTATGGTTAGGTTTAGTGAAATGAAATGCATCCTAAAACATACTCAAAAAGTTAGCTGCAACTGAAGCATCAAACATGAAATAGATTTTGGAATAGAAATTAACAAATGAAGGAGTGTAAACAGATGGTTAAGAAAAAAAATAACAAGTCTTTAAATCTTTACCTACGCTGTGATCCAAAATTTAGGCTGCCATGGTAGATGCCAGCTCCAGAAAGCCATGCGAAATGAACAGCTCTTTTTTGCTTCATAAAGAAATGCAAATCACTGAAAGGATACAAAGGCAACAGAAAAATCTCATATTGAGAAAGCACCATAACCTTAATATATACACACACACATCAGAAAGGGTCAGTGGCGGATCCAGAAATAATTTTGAGGGTGGGCACATATGTGTTAACAATAAAATTTTTGAATGGTTGAGCGCAAATAAAATTTCAGGGTGAGCATCATCAATAAAATAGGTGACTAATCGAAAAAAATTCGGATTTCAAGGTGGGTACGTGCCCACCCTGAGTCATGAATGGATCCGCCACTGGAAAGGGTAGATAGTAATTCTCAACCAATAACAAAATGTAATTTTGTTAATCAGAAAGAATAAGCTTAATATGCTGTGCAATAAGTTCTGCAAACACAATATTCCATTCTATCTTCTGAGTATATGAAACAGTAAAACAATAAAATCATTAAAAGGAAAACTTGCCTGTTTGGTATTTCACCAGGAAGTTCCATGAAATGCACAGCCCGGTTCAAGTAACTGGCAAAAATTGCCTAGCAATGGAAAAACAAATTGAATAAACAAAAATTATATATCCACGATATATTGCACTAAGCTAGACAGAATTATATAAACCATTGCAAGAGAACCTCAAAGGAAGAACACATTTAGGAAAACAGAAGAAGTTATGAACATGGTAGGCATTTAAATGAGAAACCCATTTCACTTGCATTGCAAAAAAAAATTCGCATCTAAACAACTGTTTAGGAAGAAATAAAACCTATCTTTGATGGCATAATAGGTGGGTAGAAAAAACGGCATTTCTTGGGCTGAATAGAATCTGGCCCAATCATTAATGAATTAATAGAGTGGGAAAAAGGGATGTCCATCTATAGGTAGAAGTAGCAGCAGTACAACAGGGGGAAAGGCATTAGAGCTCAGCTTACTTCTAGTGATCCAACTCCAGTGAAAGAATAAAGTCTTGTGGGAGTAACAGCCATCACATAGTATCTAGATACATTGCTCAAGATAGCTGTTTCCATCTGTATACAGCAACAATGTCAGTTTAAGGAGAAGGTTGTACGAATGCCAGTCTCCGTGGCAGTTTCTCAATTCCTTTGACATTATCAAGTGATGGTACCCAATCTTAAGCAGCAACCTGTTTCAGCTAGTTCACTATAAATTGTCTAGCAGAAAATAGCATTTCCACCCAAACCAACTAAAGATTTAAGATGCACATTTGCAGACAAATAAGAACATCATTAGAACTTTGACCATCCAAAATGCAATGTCTAGTTGCTTTCAAAATGCCATGTTCAAGCAGAACAACTATATCAGAAGAAAGGATTCTCAAAATGAAGAAAGAACAGATAATTAAAGTCCATTCCTGATTTAAAGATGCAAAATAGTGTACCTGCAAACCGATGATAGCTTCGGGAAGTTCTGCTAATTCAAATAAAGGCTTTATATACTTTTCCTTTTTTTCCTTCTCATCTACAGCAATTTCATACAGTTGACCATTCTCTGTACCAAGAATGACTTCCTTTGTAGAAGCTGCATTAGAAAACATGAAGAACAGAATTGTATAACTAAATCAATATGTGCAAAGCTTGGTTCCCTCAAAGAAGCAATGACCGAGAAATAAAATTACCTTCAGTTATCTGTTGCCTATTCCAGGCAACAGCATTTACAACTAGACCTTTCAATCTGCTTAATACACGAGGTTTGGTCCACTTTGCATGAGTGTAGAATGTATCAGCACCAACACTGCCCACCACAGTAGCAATACAGTGGCTGCCCCCAGGATCAACAAAAACTCTATGGATTGATTGCTCCCCAGGTCGGCCAGCAGAGAGATCGATTTCTAAAATTCCAAATGGACAAGGAAAAATTATAACATTCTTCCATCATTTACATATGCCACTAAATCAGTTCTTAACCTCTCATTCGACATGACTCAACTTAATGCCTTAAATGCCAAGCTGAATCAAATACCTTATATCAATGAGTTCCAGTTCAATTAACTTCAAGCTAATTAATTAACGAACAAGGAGTAAAAAGTAACTAGAAACTAGCCTAGAATATCAAAATTGGTTCATAAAAAAATTAAAATTATAATACTGAAAGTGCATTAATCAATAAAAGAGGATATCATACCACTAGAATCTCCGACGCCGAAATCATGTCTGATAATCCAACCTTTACTTGTTCCCAGCACAGTCACATCATTTCCAGCTGCCATACACGTAATCACGCCGCGGCCTTTAGCCGCATATCTCTCGAGAAGATCTACTGTGAACACTTGTCTCCCTTGATTCATCTGTCCGCGTCACCGTCCTTTCCCGCTGTTGATTTTTATCGCCGATAGCTGAAACTAACAGAAAATTTTCACTTCAAATTGATGATGGAGATGAATTGTCATAATGATCGATCAACTGAATTGCAAGTAAATCGAAGTAATGCTTCGTAAAAAAGCAATTAAGCCTAAAACATTACCTGAATTGTATAAAGAGATCGACTGGGGGACTTTCGTCTCCTATCGTAATCGTACTTTAGACAGAAAGAAAACTGAAATTGAGCCCAAATCAAAACTCCTTGAAAGGAGACGTTTTACTGTAACCCGGATCTCAACACTCGCTATTGACTCGGGTTTGGCTCCGTACAGCACTATGGGGTAAGTTGAAGGGTATTTTTAATGCACTTGTTATTGAGTTTTTTTATATAAAAAAACAATTAAGATATAATTTGTTACTAGAATAAATTGAATAATAAATTTAGGATGAGTAAAATTTAAATCGATTCAAAAAATTGATTTTTTCAACTCGACTTAAATTGACTTCAAGTTATAATTTTGACTAAAAAATCAAATGCAAACCGAGTTGTAAAATACAACTCGAATAACGCAAAATTTTTAGTAATCAATATATTGATTTTTGAGTTTGAGTTAAAGTTTTGAGTCAAGCCCCTCGACTTTGTATGGTATATGTAAATTACATATAAAAAATACGATATATATATATATATATATTGTATATGGTTATAAAATACTATTTAAATTAGAATCAAATAATGTAATGATATTATAAATATCTACAATTAAATTTAAATAGAAATTCAAAAATTTTACCCTACTCAACTCAAATTTTATAAACTTGACTCAACTAAAAAAAATTTCTAGTCAACTTCGAGTTATAATATAGGATTCATCAATTCGAATAACTCAATTTTTTGACTCTACTCAACTCTATCCGATCGAACGCTCACCCCTAAATAAATTAGTATAAACGTCCATTTATTAATGTTATTTCGCTTGAATTTTCGGTCCAAATTGAATTATAATTTTTTTAAAGTAAAAAAAATGCCATAGCATTAATTTATAACTATAACTATTGAGAGGATTAAATTATAGTTTTACTATTTTTTAGGACAAAAATGAAACCACCATTGCATTAACTTAAAACTTTGCAAATCTAAAGGACTTAAACTGCAATTTTGCCATCAATTACCAAGTCCCCGTGACTAAAGTAGTCGTATATCGAATATCCATCGTTGTATGCTTACAAACAAAATTCCAACTACGCATATATATAGCCATTTACACTTGGGAGATTATCTGATCCAACTCTATACCGCTATCACGAACACTGTTTTTTCCGAAATTCTTCGGACAATAGCGTGTTTACGAGTCGTTGCAGCCTCTCAGCGCCGGGGCCTGGCCTAAACACGGAATCATCACCACGTACGGCGCAAGGGTCAGCTCCACCCTCTGAACTACCTATACACCATGCTCCAGGTGCAAAACGGCCTGTGCGAGCAAGAAGCTCTTTGTCGATTTTATCCAAGACCGGATCATTCTTATGGAACTTCCGAGCAAAGGGCGCATTGCTTTTTACAATTTTGTCAAAGTCTTTCATCGACAACGAGATTGGATGTTGCTTCGGAGGAGTGTCCCAAGCAATGTAGTGGAGATCGTGGCTTAATGCGGTGCTGCGAAATTCGTTGGTGTTGCAAATAACAGTGTGGAAATAGCCTTCCGGAGAGGAAATGAAGTTTGTATAATACATGAGCATGGTTCTTGGGAAGTTATCCCAACCCCATATGCAATACTCAGCGAAGGTTCGAGTAAGTGCTACCCATGCAGAACCTGCACGAAAAACAAAAGCCGAAACAACCGTCTGAAAATTTCTTTATTCAAGCTTTGGAGTTCAATATAAATATAAAACGCAGTAGTATTGAGTTTATATGCATATCGAAAAGCAACAACAACTCGTCCGATAAGGCCAGGAAACACAAAGCAGAGTTGATTTAAAAGGTGCATATGAATTATGATGGAAAACAGACCTATATTGCTGGTCTCAGCTACTTAAGATTCAAATATCAGTATGTCACTCCTCTCAACACCGGCATCTGATGTAGGCGTTGGCACCAGGCAAAAATATTAGTTTATTCGGCACCCAATAACAAAATCAGCATAGGGAGGAACCCAAAAGATCAATTCCAAAATGCTAAAAAAAGTTTCCTACTCCAATACTTAAGACCTAGAATGATCCGATCAACGTAACTCCAAGTATCATTCCAGCATTTACTACTACGAAACAAGCTGCATCGTAAGTATAAATGATCCTTATTTAGTACATAAACTTCAGCTGATATTTCAACAGTCAACAAAAATGTCATTCGGGATTACAAGATAAAAGTGATCAACATAAAAGCATTACGACCTTTAAGAAAACAAAAAGTGGCAGAGGGCAAGCAAACTAGCAATGACTAGAGAAAGTGCAGGGTACAGTGTGCTCGATAAAGTAGGAAAAATAGCCAACCTGTATATAACTTGAAAGATGCGGGTAGTGATCGACGTTGTGTAGTCCAAGCAATGTCGGACTTTTTGGACAAGTAAAGGCCGGGATCAACAATGATTGGTCTTGCCCTCTGGTTCCTGCAAAAGCATGTAATTAGACAAAGAAACTGGGGACATTACAGCATAAGAAAAAGGAAATTTAGCTAGTACACTAGGTATTCAACTTACAACTTCCAACCAGTAATCTGCGTATGTTCAATGAAATTGAAATTTCTTGACAAATTGGAGAAAACATGCAACAAATCTGCATAATTGAAACATACATCAATTAGTCTTTCGCAAACCAGCCAGAGAACGCAAAATCTCATTCAGAAACACATCTAAGTTTCTGAAAACACTCCATAAATCAACAAGAAATGCATGTCATAATGTCCAAAAGAAAGATACCAATGGAGCTCTTTCAGATATTTTAACCATAAATTAACATAATAGTACAAAAGGCATTTATTGAATGTGTCTCAAATGTACCCGACTGCTTATGCGATGGCCAGGCAGCTAAAATTCACAACGATTCTCTTTCGTGAGAACCTGGAGTAGCAATTTAAAATACTATGATAGAACCCTTTTTCCTTTACAATTAGAAATGTGTTAAAAAGACAGCTCAATCTCTTGATTGAGCACCCTCAAAATAATTTGCGGTTAAGCTAAAAGTTTCCTATAGAAACCGGAAAACATGCTTGAGAGAGCGATGCAAATACCTAATCAACCATATTTACATTTGAATTTCCCTAAACTATACATATACATAACATATTGTGATAAAAATAAGTGGCAGAAAGCAAAGTCCCTGAACAAATTCAGCACTATTATTCGCTACAAGCATAGCAAATGTGCATTTACATTAAGCCTATCAAAAGCCCTCGAACAACGCCAAATATAAACTATAACCATAAGACCATAAGAGCAATATAGCATTGATAATGAAATGATAAAAAGGCCAAAATTTATTGAGACTAACCATCTTGAGTCACAAGTGGATAATCCGAGGCACTCAAGTTTAGAAACCAATCCCACTCCAAGCTCTCCTTCAACAGTATGGCAATCGCTTGAAGCGTAGAAGCGATCATCGTCGGACCTTTATACGTCACCAAGTTCGATTGCGCCATTACACGAATGTTTTTTACTTCGGCAAAAGTCGGATCATTCTTCACCGCATTCGCCAATTCCAACCTTTCCCTAGGTGGAGCCTCGAGGTCCAAATGTAAAACATACTGATTCCTAGGATGATAAACAGCCTGCAATGTCCTCATCATCCTATTACTATCTCCTTTAGTCCCTGAAATAAGATATGCTAACCTAGGCGCCTCGAGACTCGAAGAACCCATGGTGTTGAACAATTTGTTCAAATCAGATTCCACAAAGTACCCACTTGAATCCTCCGTTTTTGCAACGGAAACAACGTCAAGTGGCATTGGCAACTGATCTCCACCGTGAGGAGCATTGAAAACCCCAAAAATGGCAGAGAAAAACAAAGTAATCGACATTAATAAGCTTGCGAGAAATGGTATAATCCATTTCCTATCGTTGAACACTCTGCTCGAATGCCTTGACAACGGGTTTCTCATCAGAACCAGTTTCCTATAAAGCTTTTTCATTTTGGGTAATCAAAAGTTCAGCAATAAACACAAGATCCGTGAGGAACAAAGCAAAAACCCAGAAAAGTTACTAAGAAAAAAACATGGGTTTCAAGCAAAAAGATCATCACTTTGGAAGGGAATCGAAATTCAAATATAAATTTGATCAATATACAGCAGGAAACAGTAACCGACACAAACAAACAAAAAACATAGAGAAAAAACAAAATGATTTCGTTTTCGCCACTAGATCTAATCACTAATCAATTCCAGAAAACCGATAATGAAGAACCGGAAAATGATTGACTTAAAGTCTAAGTTTTTTGATACTTCGAGTACACGTCGTGAGAGGTAGAGGGGAAAAAAGCTTAATTTGAAACATAAATGGCTAAGAAAATGGAATATAAATGCTTAATGAGGGGAGTAATTGTTGGTTCAAAAGATTAAGCTTTGAGATCGACCATTGCGAAATGTAAATTAATATTTGGTAAACTACATAAATGACCACGTAATTATATGTTAGGTCGCGAAATGATCATCGTTTTTAAATTTACATCAATAACCACTAAACTATTAAAATATTAAAATATAATCAACTACTGTTAACACTTAACGGAAGTGTTAAAACTCATCTTGGGACCCAAGTTGGATATCCTTGGGCGTTAAAACTCATCTTTATTTATTTTCACTTTAATTCAAAAGGTGACATGTGTGATCTTTTGATTGGATTGAAAATTTATTAAATTAAAATTTAAAGAACCCTCTAATTAGATTGTAACATGTGTCACGATATGATTGGAGAAATAAATTTATTAAATTAAACTAAAATTAGGACCTAATTGAAAATTAAGAATTAAAGTTAACATTGGTGATCAAATTGATTAATTCTAAAATCTAAGGGATTTAGGGGTTGTTTGTGTACTTCAGAATGATTAAGCGCTGAATAATTCAAATGCTTAATGATTCATAGGCTCTATATGAATTAGATCTGAATGTGACATGTTGTTTGATAATGACTCTAAATCATTCAGAATGTACTTCTGTGCTGAATCATTCATCAATGTTTTGTTGAATCAGTCAGCACTGAATCATTCAGAGGTGAGAAACAAATAGTATGAATGCTGAACGGTTCAGCATTCAACGCTGAATGGTTCTATTCAGAGCCAAAACAAACAGCCCCTTAGTATATAAATTCAATATATGATTAGATTAAAAGATTTTTAAAGTTAATGCTCAAATTAATTCATTAGACAAATTAAAAACGGAATCATGATCAAATTTCATTAAATGAATATCCAAGGAAAGAAATCATACACAAGTAGTGACCAAAATGGAAAGCAGAGTTCCGTCGCAGTGAATACGTAACTTTACAATGATCTGTGCCCTAATTATATCAATTTTGTTAATTGTCACGTAGACACTTCCGTTAAACGTTAACGACATGTTACTATATTGAAACCATTTAAATAATTCAGTTTTCATATTAACGTAAATTTGAAAATACTGGTCATTTCGTGACCTAACTCATAGTTATGTGGCCATTTAAGTAGTTTACCCTTAATATTTTAATTCTCTTTTTAGTTTTTATTTAAACTTATTATACTCATTATTATTCCTTATAATCACACAAATGAAACTGATGAGATATTAAATAAAAAAAACTGATATATTTATTTAAAAAATTTAAATTGAGTTTAACTGATTTCTCAATTTTTCTTTGTTTTATTAACCGATAGGGATTCAATATTCATGCTGACGTATAACATTAAATTTTAAATTAAATGTGTAAAAATATTTTTTCCTTGTGCCTCTTGGGCGGAGTTGAGGGCATTGGAATTATGTGAGGCATGGCCCACGAAGAAAGCTTGACTGCACCAATCATCTCATCCTGTACACGTGTCGGTTTCCTATTTGCACTGATCTTCGCATGTTATATGAATCCAAATAAAGTATCTTCATCTATTGAATGTTTTAATTGTTATCCGAAAATGAAGAATATCAAATTTTTAAATAGTTAAATATGTCTTTAAAAAATATTAAAAGCTTTTTGAGAAAATATCAAATGAAACTTTTTGAGACGTGACGACCGCGACGGCAGCGGCGCGTGCGAGAGTTCCCCTTGTTCTCTATCACTTAATAAGGAAGTGGGAAAGCTAAGCCTTAAATACCATTCCCAATAGTGTTTCCAATACTATGTGGGATTGAACATTGTTTTCAATACAATGTGATTATTCAGGAAACAATTAACAATCATGCACCTTAAAACAACTAAATCAGCAACCAGTTACATTAGTATTATACGATTAAATATGTCATAATTAAAAGTCAATTTACAATCAATCGCGATTATTGCAATTTTAAGCAAAACATTCAAAAATAATATCACTATTTAAGGCTCAATCCCACATAGTATTGGGAACAAGTGTTAGTAATGCTCAATCCCACATAGTATTGGAAACACTATTAGGAATGATATTTAAGGCTTGGCTTTCCCACTTCCTTGTTGAGTGATAGAGAACAAGGGGGACTCTTGTGCGCCGCCGCCGTCGCCCCGTCTCGTCTCGTGGTCGTGGTCGTGGTCATACGTGTCTTCGACACGCCCGCGCGAATACTATCTTTTTAGAGAAAATTCTTAATAAACAAATACAATACTGTCGTTGCGATTTTGGACTATCGCAACGAATTTGGAATAAATCGTAACGCGAATTTGGAATAAATCGCAACGAATTTGGAATAAATCGCAACGCGAACTTCGACTATCGCAACGAACTTGGAATAAATCGCAACGCGAACTTGGACTATCGCAACGAATTTGGAATAAATCGCAACGAATTTGGAATAAATCGCAACGCGAACTTCGACTATCGCAACGAACTTGGAATAAATCGTAACGTGAACTTGGACTATCGCAACGAATTTGGAATAAATCGTAACGAATTTAGAATAAATCGCAACGCGAACTTCGACTATCGCAACACGAACTTGGACTATCGCAATGCGAATATGTAAATCGCAATGCGATAGTCAAAGTTCGCGTTGCGAATCTGGAAACTGATTTGCGATACCGGAGATCGCATTGCGAATTATGGATCGCATTGCGATTTAGTTGGTCATTTTGACAAATCCAAAAAAAATTGATTAAAATCGTATATTATAAGATATTTTTTGTCACTGAAGTTATTTTCTCTTTAAAAAATACACTAAATACATTAAATAAAGGTATTGTTTCATAATTATATTATAGCCTAAAATATATTTAATTATATTTTTTAATTAAAATGAGAGACTAACCATAATTGATTTAAGCTTTACCATTTTACATCCATCATGATTAAGGATAGGTATGGATAGAATCAGGTTTTTAGTAGATTCAAATCCAACTCGAGTATTCTATCTCTCCATCGTCATCTAATCCAACTGAGTATACGTATATATATATAATTCTCATTTTCATTATGTGGGCTATATAAAGATAAGTATTATTATAATATGATATTAGATTAAATTAAAATTTATTACTCTAAATTTAAACCCGATCAAATATAACTTTTTAAAAGTACTCGTCGAATCAAAATCTCACACCCGTGTTAGGTAAAGTGTGGCCAAGATTGATGGAACAAAAAAAGTAAGATGAGATTAAGGATGGACTTAAAAAGATATAGTCACATCTAAAATTTAAAATTATCATATATTTTAAATTTTTATATATTTTTAATTAAAAAATTAATTTCACTCTATTATATATATTTAAATTTATTTGTTAAAATTTTATAAATTTAAATTTATTTCTTTAATATAAAATATTGCGTGATAGAATTAATGTGTTGGAGATGGGACCTATTAATCCATTTGCCGCCGATTGAATTTGATGATACATAGATGGAACCGCTGCTGTCCTTTCTTTCAACACACTTGTGCAGCTTTATTAATTTATCATCTGACATGCAATAAAACCACACAAAGACACACATTAATTGATGTGCAGTTCCACCCATAGCATTTAAAACTTTTGTAAAAAAGTATAGGGTAAATTGCATGTTTAATAATTGAACTTTACTTTTTCTTTCATTTCACTCACTGTAGTTTATTCACTGAATTTTATAAAAAAAATATAAATTTTATAAATTTAAAAATTTTTAAAAAATATATAAATTAAGTATAATAAAATTATAGTAGAATTCAACTTTTTAAAAAATAAATATATAATAAAGATACTTTAATAAAATATACATTCTAATAATATTTTATTTCTTTAACCAAACAATATAATTTTACATTTCTACTAAACGAATGAAACACAACAATGCAACATTCCCAGTAATCTTATTATCACCGGTAATTTTACATTTCGTGAACGAAACACACCCTAAGTGTGTTTTTAGTGGTTCCGATTCACATCCTAAAAATGTATTTCAATTAATATTGGTCATATGATACTATATATTTATTTATGTCTAAAGATATAGGTTTGAATATTTGAAAATCTAACTTTTTATCACGAATCAAATTATTTCAGTGGTTAAAAGAATGATTGTTATTTCTAGAAATCTCAGGTTCAAATACTAACAACTACAACATAGATGATTGAACATTTATTGTCAAATAATTGAGAATGTTTAAAATAAATACAACTTTATAATTATCGTAGTAAAAAAAAAAAAAGGAGAAACCGGCTTTTCTCAATGCATTGAGCGAATATTATGTTATTTAATGAATAGGAAATGAAGGAACCGATGACTCGGGCAAAAAGATAAACAAATAAGTGAATGAAGCGATGGTAGAAGAAACTCAAGCCAACCTACAATGCCTGCTTCTGGTGATCGGAATCATCGCGCTGTCGCAACGGCTTTCTTTGCAGCCTCGTGCTTTATTTCCTCGGCTTTACCGCTACTTCGGAAGTGCCTTAAAACTTGCTGCGCAACCGAAAGAGATGAGCGAAGACGAGCGGTTTCAAATGAAAAGGTGATGAAAGAAAGGGGAGTACGGATTACCGGACCTGAATAACCCAGATACTAAACAACGATTCGAGGCAAAAGAATGCGAAACCGATGAAGTAGAATATCTGCAATGAAGCATGAACATGTCAAGCCTTACTCGGAGATGCAATGAACAAGTATCCCGGTATAATTCTACACATGGATACATCGTAAAATCGGGATCCTGAACATAAA